TGACACTGCACACACACACAGACAGAAGCATTGACACTGCACACACACACAGACAGGAGCAGTGACACTGCACACACACACAGACAGGAGCTGCACATGCATGCACAAACATAGACACACAGGCATGAGCACTAATGCTGCATACAACATCACAAGCACAGACACAAACCAAAAAACGTGCACAGTTACCCAGCGGCTGAACACCGCTGACACCAAACACACATGCTTAGACACATGCACTCCACACGCCACAGTCCTGTGCGAAAGGCAGTGCTGTCTCTGTGGCTGCTGTCAGCACTGTGCCTCCGGGCTCTCAGACAGGTCTGGAGTAGCATGGAAACAAACAGTGAAAGATTATGCAACAGAGCTCGGAGCTCTACCCCGATTCTGATCAGCACAGAGAAAAACAGAAGTTCTGGCAGAGCTGAGTCACTGAGAGTGATAAGGGGGGGAGGAAGTCGGTGTTAGTTTGATCATGTTAGATATTTTACTAGCTTTTTCATTTCATTTCCAAACTGCTTGTGCCTGCCTGTGTGTTGCGGATCGCTCACTGGTGGGGCAGCCAGCAGCCCAGCCCTGCTGCACACAGGGTCTCTGGGATGGATGACTCTGGTTGTGGTTGTGGTGCCCTGGTTACCAACGGCTCTTCCGCCACATGAAAGGCTGATGGTCAGGAAGTCTCTGGCAGAGGAAGTGAGTGTTGCTCCACGCTGAGCTGTGCGCGGGAGACGTCACTCTGCCTCTCTGCTCTCCTCCAGGGGGCTGGGATGTCTTCTGACAAGCCCTGCCACTTTAAAATGAGCCCTTCACAAGACTGTGAAACAACACCCAGCAGGAAAGGGAGAACGTTCACAGGACACTGGACACTGAGGACAGTTACTGTGACTCTGGACAGTGGACACCGAGGACAGTTACTGTGACTCTGGACAGTAGACACTAAAGACAGTTACTGTCTCTCTGGACACTAGACACTGAAGACAGTTACTGTGACTCTGGACAGTGGACACTGAGGACAGTTACTGTCAGTCTGGACACTGCACACTTGGAGGTGTTAACCGATGAGGCATCTCTTTATCTGAATTCTCGTTAAGATAAAGGACAGTTACTGTGGCTCTGGACACTGCACACTGAGGACAGTCACTGTCTCTCTGGACACTGGACACCGAGGACAGTTACTGTCACTCTGGACAGCGGACACTGAAGACAGTTACTGTGAATCTGGACAGTAGACACTAAAGACAGTTACTGTCTCTCTGGACACTGCACACTGAGGACATTTACTGTGACTTTGGACACTGGACACTGAGGACAGTTACTGTCAGTCTGGACACTGAGGACAGTTACTGTGACTCTGGACACTGGGCACTGAGGACAGGGGTTCCTGGGGCTCCTGGGG